TGAAGTTTGGATTCAGGTAAAGGGCTGTACTTGAGGACCTACAGGGACACATGGGGCCTCAAGGCCCTAGGATCCTCACCCCTCTAGACTGATAAAGTATCAGACCTTATCAATTTCCTCTTGGATTAGGAGGACAAAAGGTTAATATTTAAAGGGAAGGTTAGTATTGCAGAAATTTAAGGAGGTCTTTATTGATAGATGATCAGTGCCCATATTCATTCAGATCATATGTGCTATTCTTTGACAATAGACCTGTACCCTAATCCGGAAGTTTTCCATGAGAGGCCAGTTTGCCTGAAATATTTGGATTTGGCATTGTTGCCATGAATAGAATTGGAGGAAAGTATCTATTTTTAATCATTTTGTAGATTTTAGATGAAAAATAAAGATCCATTTTTTCCCCAAACTTGGCAAGAATGAGAAATATTTTGGAATGACTTTCATCCTGTATAGATTGATTTTCTTGTTCTGCCCCAAGAAATTATTAGATGCCAGATCGTTCACATTTAATTAAAGCTTTTGAAAGTGAAGACTTTGCTTTTACAAAAACCCATTTTACTTTACTACCTTTTTTGTGCTACTATATTCCTGTCAAAACAAATATTAGAACTGCTATTGCTGCCTTTTTAACTCAAGTACATATTTTCATGTTTTAATACAGCCCTACTATTTATGTTAATGGTTTATCTTTTTTTAAAAAAAAGGCTTATTTCTGATCAGGGACTATATTTGTGAAGGCATGAAATAGCCATCCATGTCTAAATCCACAAAATATTAAAATGTATAAACTAGAACAGAGGTTTATGTCTTATGTGTTAAATCTCCTCCTGTTAATTAGTTTCTTCAGAGTGGATTTAAATATTATTTTGAAAACATTTTACCCTTTTTAGACATGTCATAAATGTTCACACACATACAACTTGGTGTGACACAGTGAGCCCGCAAGATTAAATGGACAAAGGAACAATTTACAACTCTCAGCCTTGCCTAGTTTGATTCTAGAAGAATCAGTTGTATAGAAACTGAAAATCACTTAATATTTCTCCTGCTCTTTTACCAGCATTTTTTAAAAATTATATAAAAAGAGAAATTGATTGCACCTGTGGTTTCATCATTATAGGAAGCTCCCAGTGAGATTTCCTTCACCAATGCGGATTAGATACCTTATCTGCAATTTACAGTCTTGAGAGCTGCCTAGAGCACTCAGTGGTTGAATGGTTCCGAAGGGTTACAGAACTGGTAGTTGTCAGTGATGGGACTTGAACCAAAGTCTTCTGGACCATAAGGCCAGCTCTCTATCCACTACCTCACACTGGCTCCTATAATATGTACAGAAAAATCATGCCACATAGATCATTTTAGTAAGGAAAAAAAAGTGAGCTAACTTGTTCTTTTCAACAACAACATAAAATTAGATGAGTGAACGAAAGCCATCCTCATGGAGTGTGAGGTTTGGAGGAGACATTAGAGATCATCTAGTCCAACCCTCTTCATTTTACATTGAAGCAAACTGAGGACCAAAAAGATTTGTCAATGACGACATTAGTTATCTAACAGTAGGGCCAGAGCTAAACCTCAGGTCTTATTCCTAGTCCAGTGTTCTTTCTAAAACTTTACAATGTCTCTCTCTGTCACACACACACACACACACACACACACACACACACACACACACACACACACACACACCCCGTAGTATTATGAGAACAGGTATTTTTGTTTGTATTGCCCTGAATAGTTCCAGATACATATCAAGTACTTGATGATTCTCTTTGATTGATTTAAGGTAAATTCATATAATGCTGTAGGATTAACCTAACTTTGTGATTAAATACAGCTCAAAGGCCCAGATCTTTAAATGGATTATGTGCCCCAAAAAAGTAAAATTTTTAAAAAGTCATTAATATAACTAGAAAAGGAATACTGTAAATCTTCAGACTATTGATGATCACTTTTAAACATAACATTTCTGAAAAGCATGGGCCAATTCCAGCAAAGAATTTGGTAAGTTGATAGCTTTTTCTTTTTATCAGGGCTTGAGGTTGGGAAGCAGGGAGTTGAGGTATCATTTTACTTCTTTTCAGAAATGATGGAAACTATTCACTTTTCCTTTCATGTCAAGCACTGGGACAAACCATTTATTTCCTTATTTTACAAATAGAAATCACACAGTACATAACTTTTAAAATTTTTGTCAACCTCAGCACTTTCTGTCTTAAGAGTTGCATCAATATTCACTATAGTCATATCAACTGACCTCTTTCTAATGATTGAGTTACATTATTAGTTTGGAAAGATAGAACAGGGCAAGCTTGTGAAGGGTTTTAAATGTCAAATGGAGTAGTTTGTATTTTAGCAGCAACAGGGAGCCACTGAAATTTCTTGAGCAAAATGTTGACGTGATCAGATCTATAGTTTTGGAATATCCATTTATGTAGAGGCCATATTGGAAAGGAGGGAGGATAGATGAAGGGAGACCAATTAAGTGACTATTGTAGTTGGTCAGGTGAAAGGTGATGAGGGCCTGAACTAAGATATTCTGTGGTGTGAGTGGAAAGAAGGGAGCAGATACAAAAGATATCATGGAGGTAGAATGAACATGAATTGGCAACTGAATGCCAAGTTTTGTCAATTATCCCTTCATAATGTATCTCATATACTCCCCTTTCTCTCCTCTGATACTGCCACCACCCTGGTGGGAGCCCTTATTACTCATGCTTGGACTATTACAACAGTCTTCTGATTGGTTTCCTTGCCACAAGTGCCTATCCACTCCCAGTCCATCCTCTACTCAGCTCTCAAAGTGGTTTTTCTAAGCAGTGATTCTTAAACTGTGGGTTGGGATCCATATGGGGTCTCAATCTATAATTTAAGAAGCACTGATGGGATTGCAAGTGGGAAAAGTTTAAGAAGCCCTGTTCCAAAGTACATGTCTGACATAACATGCTGCTCCTACTATTCAGTAAACTCCAGTGGCTCTCTACCATCTCCATGGTCAAATATAAAATCTGTTTAGCATTCAAAGCCCTCCATAACCTGCCCCTCCCTTCCAGTTTCAGGCTTCTTACACCTTACACACCCCACCCCATATACTCTGTGATAATGACGCTCGTCTCCTTGCTGTTCCTCAAACAATACACTCCGTCCCCAATAGCAGGCATTTTCACTGATGTTCTCTCCCATGCCTGGAATGCTCTCCCTCCTCATCTCTATCTTCTGACTTCTTCAAGTCTCAGTTAAAATCCTGTATTCTACAGGAAGCCTTTCCCAGTTCCTCTTAATTCTAGTGCCTTCTCTCTGTTGATTATTTCCTATTTATCCTGAATTTAATTTTTTTGCGCTTAGTTTTTACATGTTGTCTCTTCCAATAGACTGTTAGCTCTTGGAGAACAATGGCTATCTTTCACCTTTCTTTATATTCCTTCCCCTTAGCACAGTACCTGGCACATAGTCAGTGCTTAATTTTTTTTATTAATAGAATGAAGGGATATGGATAGTAATTGGAAAAGTCAGGTATGACTGCTGGGTTGTAAACCTAGTTAACAAGAAGACTAGTAGTGTCTTTTGCAAAAACAGGAATGTTGGGTTTCAACACTGAGTTTTGTTTTGGCCACATTGAGTTGCCCATGGGACAGCCAGGTGGAGATATTCATCAGGCCCCTCAAGATGTTGTACTGGAGTTCAGGAAAGACATGAGGTCTGGATGGGTAGATCTGAGATTCATATTCAGAAGGTGGATAGTTCAACCTTTGGCAGCTGATGAGATCACCAAAAGAAAGTGGAGAAGATATACCTGCACATAAAATGTAGTTAATGTTCCTGCTAAAGATAATAGGTCATAGCTTCAGAGCTGAAAGGAACCTTAAAGTTCATCTTGTCCAGCTGTCTCATTTTACGCATGAGGAAAACAATGCCTAAAGTAATTAAAGAATTTTCCCAAGTGTTTATAGGTGGTAAGAGAGCCAAGATTCAGTTCTAGGTACCTTATCTCCGAATTCAGTACACTTTCTATTATACCAGATTGCCTTCTGAGAAGAATAATAGTTACAGAAGCACAACAACAGAGCAATGTCAGGAAAACCCAAGAGGAAAAGGTATCCTATAGGATGGATTGGTCACCAGTGTCACACTTCAGAAAGGTCAACGAGGATTTGAATTTAGCTCTAATGAGGCTGTTGTGGATCTTGAAAATATCAATTTACCCTGCATTAGTGGATATGGAGGTCAAATTGCAATGGATTGAGAAGTGTTTGGAAGACAACAAAGTAGAAACAAAATACATAGATTTTTTTTTAATAATTTAGTTGTGAAAGTCAGGAGAGATATTGAAATCCCTTGGGGTTAACAAGTGAAAGATCTGTAAGGATGGGAGGGATTTGGGCTTGTTTGAAGATAGAAGGGAAGGAAACCATAGATCAGAAGAGGTTGAAAATTATCAAGAGAAAGGATAATTGAAGAGATTAGGAGTGGAGTTGGGTTAGCTTTTGGAAGGGAAAACCACTTAATCCTCTGAGACTAGAGCTAAGAGATACCTAGGGGCAGGGAGGGATAGTGAAGAGATTTGAAATGAGGAATTGAGGTCTCTGTATTTTCAGTGAAACCTAAGACAACCCTCTGCTGAGGTGGAATTGTCAATGGCCTGAGAAGAAAAGGTTTGGAACAGTAACTGTGAGTGTGGTAAACTAGATCAAGGAAGAATAAAAGAACTGTTGTGAAAGATTCTTGGCCCATTTAAAATTGAATAACCCAAACTTGTTATAGAACCAATCAGCACAGTTATATGACTTCTTTCAGTGGATTTACAGTTTAAATAAAGTATTTAAATATTTAAATGAAATAAAATTTTACTTCTGAAACTACATTTATTTCTAAGTCACATGTCTATTTTTTCCCCCATTTTGACCAGATTGGTAGTCTTTGAACAAGTTGACGATTTAATCTTATGTGAAAGACATTTTATTTTTTGAATGGCAATAGACGTATGTCATTTCTTTCTGCAGATGGAGATGGACAAACTGATCACTTATTGCCAGGCTGTGAAGATGAAAATTGCCAGAGAAGTGCCATCTACTTAGCTAAACCAGGAATGATGAATCAGGTATGCAACCATTGTTTTGCTAAGGCAAACATAATGAAATGTGGGAAAGAACCTGTGGTGCATGAAAGAACAACCAAAATAACCCTGAAGCAATTTAAAAAAAAGCAAAGCTCATTCTCACTCTTTTGTTAATAGAGAAATTGAAATTGTTTCTTTTTTTTAATTGACTAGTTAAGGTATACAGGGTTAGGAAGGGGTGCAAGGTACTATACAATGCCAGAATCCATGCTGATGGAGAAACCCCTTATAAGCCTAATATTATATGTAAAAAACATATTTGTTGTACATATTACAAAATCAATCCATAATATTTCTTAGTAAAATATAAACACAGTAATAACAACTATGTAGAAAACCATCATATTTGTGTATAAGAACAATATTCTTCTATGTCTGTTAAATATAGTAATTCATTGTTTTCCAGTGTTCAGACTGTGCATTTTACCTTTATATATGTCACAGGAAAACAGTTCAGAATATGATAGTCAAAGTGAAGAAGTGATGTGGGAATGATAGCTATATATTTTCACATTTTAACAGTAACTGGAAGAGCCCAAGCATCTAAAATACAATAACGAAATATAGGCAGCTATTTCCTGCCTATTGGTGATCAGAATAAAAAAACTGACCATATTGTGAACCTAATCTAGAGACCAGTCACATATTGTGCCTGTCTTAAATTATTCTTCCATCTCCATTTTTGTAATTCATTAACTTTCTTTCAAATCTTTAAATTATTTTAAAGTTTGAAATCATGAAAAATAGCATTGGTTCAACTAACACCTCAGGCTTGGTTGCCCATGAATAGGAAGACCTGGTAATTACAGCCTAGGTTCAAGTTACAGGTAATGTCAACTGTAGTTCAGAAATGTCATGGGGCTTAAGAAATCGTTAGGGGTCATGTTAAATGAAAGTTCTTGTTCTGTTAGTGTTTGAAATACTAGTAAAATAGAGACTATTCCTTCATAGTGAATCATCAGAACAATGCATTTTTGTTTTGTTAGATTCTTTGTGTTTTGGCTCTAAGAACTGAAACTTGAGGTCTAAAGATCTCAAATCCTGCGTGGACTTGGTGTGAAGCTCAGCTCTGACAACTCCTACCTAGGTGATGTCACCTTGCTATGCCTCATTTTTCTCATGTAACATGAGGGAGTTAAACTAAATGCTCCCTAAAATCCTTTCCATCAATAAATTCTGTGGGACTGTGAGATGTTGTCATTTGTCATCATTAAGATGATAACTAAGATAATCAACATTAAGGCATGTAGGGAAATGAGCACTGGATTGAAAGGTAGAAGACTATGTCACAATCCTGACTACTCTGTGCAGTGTGATTTTGGGAAAGTCACTTTACCTCTTGAGGCCTCGGTTTCTTCATCTATAAAATGAAGAATTACTCTTTGATTGATCGTCAAGTTTTCCTCCAACTTTAAGTTCTTTAAACCTATGAAATTAAATATTTTTTTTAAAAATAGTATTTTTAATGGAAATCTGAAAGTTGTTTATAATACTTTTAAAAACATTTATCCTCTTTAAGTTGGGGAGTTTTATGAGATGTTCTGCCTTTCCCTGAATAACCTTTACGGGTTTTTTTTTTTGAGGCATTCTGTGGACTGAGCCTTTTTATAAGAGCCCTTTTTAACATAGTATGGCTTTGAGCCATGTAAATGAGCCACCTGCTTAAAGAGGAAAAAAAAATCTGTTGGCATGTTTGGTCTCCTGCCATTTCAGTCAGTTGAGTCAATGCACCTGCTTCTATTTGGGCATGATCATATTGTTTTCCAGTATTTCTTAACTTCTAATTATAGACACAACTATATTTTAATCACCATACTTTCTACTCTTGACATTTTTATTTTCATTTTGAGACATAAGAAGTAGCAGTTTGGGCCACTCAGAAGGGATAGTTTTCTCAAACCTTGCCTCTGTATTAGCATTCCATTTCTGTGATCTCCATTACAGTTAGTATTGAAAAGAAAAGAGTGAAATAAACCTAGATCCCAATAGTTGTGGTAGTAGAGATCACTATCCCAAACAAAGATCAACCTTTCATTTTCATTGAAGAAAATGTCAGCTTGACATGTTATTAGAGAAACCTCAGTGCTAGCCGACTCTGAAGTTGACAACTAATGTTATCTTTGTAGAAAGGCACAAAAATAAAGTGGGAGAGGCACGTTCAGTCTGAGTTTTCTTGAGATGTTCCCCAAAAATGAACACCCATTTGAAGCTGAATGCAATTTTGCTTTAGTTTGAAAATTAATTTTGAGTCCCTTAAAATATGGATCCTATTTCCATGCAGACCCAAATTGTTAGAAAAAGGGCACTTTTGGTTAAAATAATTTAAAAGCCCTACCAACAGTTCTTAATCTGGACCAGGCCAAGTGAACATGGCTAGGGATGAGTGTAATTCCAGAAGGAAGCTATACAGTTTTTTGAAAATAACACACATTTTTCCCAAAAGTAAATTATAACAGACTTCCTTATTCAGTGTTGTAAACAAAAAGACTTTAAGTGAAATAGGTTATCTTGAGAATGTAAGAATATGCTTTGGGATGAACATATGAAATTAACAAAAAAATAACTATTTTTAAAAGCTGAATTAAATTTTCACTTCCTCAGATGGTGAGTATTTTTGTGAATAAATCCATAAACACTAACTTTTTTTTTTTTTAGTCTCAGTGGATTCCAGTGATCCAAGATTTCAGTTACAAGGGCACAGTCTGGGGCTTTGTGCCATTTAATCATGAACAGCTACCAGCTGAAATATCCATTCCAATTACCCTTCACATTGGAGACTACAACATGGATGGCTATCCAGATGCTCTTGCCATACTAAGGAATACATCTGGAAGGTAGTTTAAGTGAAAAGTACTTATAAATTCAAGTCTTACATTCTGCCTCTTTGGGAACTGGACATTACCCAGATATACTCCATTCATATAAGCATGTAACACAAAGGACCTAATTCTTATTTCTTTCCACACTCCTTGAACTTTTCTTGAGTGATTAGCATTCCTATTTATTTGCATGGAGTCTTTTTGTGCAGAAGAGAAATGAGCATCTGATCCAGAGTAAAAAGCTTATTTTTCACTCCATAGAACTTGCCATTAAAACGGTCTTAATTTTTGTAGAACATTGTGCCATTTACCCAATTGCATTTTTGCATCACTTCTTCTGTAATGGAACTGGAAATGAATGAAACTACTTTTAGAAAGGTTTATTACCACTGTTTTATATTAGAATTTTCAGATGGTTTTTATATGTTATTTTTAACTCAAAGGAATTTGTTGCTTTATCAGTCATTCTGAAAGAAAATTAAGGTTCTAGATCAGTCAGTCTAAAATCATTTATTAAACACTGTGCCATGGGATGGGAATTCAAAGATAAAAATGAAACAGCCCCTAGGGAATTCATATTCTAAAATACATTGGAAAAAATTGGGACAATTATTGAAATTAACCACTAGCTAAAATATCAATATCTTAATGTTTTTCCTGATCACAAAACCAAATTGTACTAGTCTATCTTTGCCTTCTTTCTTCTCTTAAGCAACTTAATGTTCAGTAGATTATCTTCTGAAATATTTTTTCATCACTGACCACAGAATCTGTTGCAAATTTATCTTAAAAGTGCCCTGCTTATCTGGCTATATGGTAATTCACCTTTGTTAACACTATCAAACCCTTTGGAAGTCTTTAACTCTTCCCAACAATTATCTCTGCTACCAAAGAAATTCACTATTTATAGAGAAATGTCTTATTAGTGAAATATCCTGAAATATTTACAGCAGGGTTAGAAGTCTTATATAACACAGTTGCCAAATTTTTCTTAGAGTTCTTTGAAATTGTACAATTATACTTTCAAGATAGTCTCAGCATAGTGTCGTCCTACCCTGTGCAACTGAGGTATGATGATAATATGTCCACATAAGTGTGTCCCTTTTCTTTCATGTGATGCAAATCTAATTTTCCAAGAAAATGAAGGTCATTTAGCATTCTAAGAACTGTACCTGTAGAAAGGAAAATAATTATCTTTTTTTTGGTTATTATTAAATGGATAGATGGGTGAGAAAGCATGCATTTATTAAATGTTTACTGTTTGCCAGGCATTATTCTAAATGCTGAGGAAGCAAAAATGTTCTACACAGTCCCTGCACCCAAGAAGCCTACATTCTAATGGAGAAAAACAATACATAAGGAAAGCAGTACCTAAAAGAAAGCAGTTCTGGGGTGTTGGGGAGGACAGCAATATAATAAGCACTGTGTAATGGCTAGAGGTGTCAAAGAAGTACTGTGGAGTTCTGAAACTGAACCAAAGGAAGCCCAAGCTGGCTTAGCAAGGCCCACTGCGGTTCCAGGGCGAAATCCACTTTTCTTGTTGACAGGGAATAGAGGCTGTGGCTCAGGTGGAAACACCATGGCTGTAGCTGTTCAAGAAGTATAGACAAAGTAATGATTATTCTAAACTTCAGTCTTGTAAGACAGAAAATGTAGGATTTTCAAGGAAATAACATTTGCTTTATCCTAAGCTTTTACCCTTGTCAGAGGAGAAAATTTATCTTGAATATACTTAGGCTTCTACCTACCAGTGCTCAGAAACATCAAAATGCATGTAGTAACAACTGATTATATAAATTTTTCCCATGTTTTTTCTTATAAGTGTTCCTAATACTTTAGCTTCAGTTCATTGGAAATTATGGCATAAATAGTTGTCATTTGAGAGTGTCTTTGTTTCATGCATAAAAGGTAAAAAATAATATTAATCATAAAGAGTCGGTATATTTATTTTAAAAAATTGCAATTTGGGTTACCTAGCCTTCTCTCACTTAATGTGTGACTATTTCCCCCTTTCAATATAGCTAGGAGTTCTGGTTCATGATATCCCTTGCTTAGTAAAACTATCAAAGGAGTGATAGCTCTTCACTTGAAGAGAGTTGTTTGCCCCAAGAGAGTATGGGCCTAAATGTTCATGGATAATGAAATTACTGAAAAAATACCAGACAAAGTACATTATAATCCTTTCTGCCTAAACTTACTCTTATACTGATGGTATGAAAACATTTATGATTTTATCAGATTGCACAACTTATCTTCAAATTCTCCAGCATTTCTATCTGTTGGCCTAGACATTGATATCATGCACTGACAGCACTTTTTAGTTTGTCGGATCTATCTAAAAAGTTCTAGAGTATGTGTGGGGAGGGGAGGTGAGAGAGAGAGAGAGAGAGAGAGAGAGAGAAAACACCAAAGTGTTTATAATCCATAATAAATTCCAAGGTTGGTTTTTTTGAAGGTTTGGTTTCTCTGTACATGGTATAGTTTTTTCCTTAATAATATCTAACCTGCATAGAAGTCATGCAAATGCTAAATATGTCCTCATTTGGAAGAAGTACCGTGTGTTTTTAAATATCAGAATATTTTGTTGTTGATGATATCACAATATCAGACACAAGCTAAGCAAACATCCCAAAGGAATAAAATATCTTTTTTAAAAGTAATATACTATATATAATTTTTTTTAATGAGATTTATCTTTCCTATAAGGGTTAGGTAATAGGAAGTACTTATAAAATAATACTTAATTTAGACTATCTAACACACAGGTTACATAAAAGAGATCTTTACAGAAGGAATTCTTGATCATACTCTCCTGGGGCACATATCTCCTTTCAAGTGAAGAGGGATGTCATGAATACAACTCTTAGTTATATTGAGAGGGGGGAAAAGTCATATATTAAGCAAGAGAAGGGATTGAAAGTTGCACATTCCTAAACAACAATAATAATGTCACTTATAGACTGCATTAAGGGTTTACAAAGCGCTTTCCATAAAAACAACTCTTTGTTTTAGGTAGTGGTAATATTGGGCAGCTGGTGGCAGGTGGCATAGTGGTTAAAGTACCCTGCCTAGAGTCAGGAAGACTCTTCTTCATGAGTTCAAATCTGGCTTCAAACATTTACTAACTATGATCCTGGGCAAGTCACTTAACCCTGTTTGCCTCAGCTTCCTCATCTACAAAATGAGCTGGAGAAGGAAATGAGAAACCACTCCAGTATCTTTGCCAAGAAAACCGCAAATGAGGTCACAAAGAGTTGGGCACAACTGAAAAACAACTCAACAGCAATGACAAAGGCTAGTACTAATATCCTTGATTTTACAGATGAGGAAATTTAGGCCCTGAGAAGTTACGAGATTCACCTAGTGCAAGTGTTCCTGAGAGAGGATTCAAAGCCACATATCCTGACTCTGAGTCTAGCACACTGCTCACTCTACAACACTGCTTCTCACAAGCAAAAGAGTTGGTCACCAGAGAATGAAAATTGTTTTCTCATACTAACAAATTGTACACACTTCAGCTAAGTGGCGCAGTGTAGAGAGCGCTGGACCTAGAATTAGGATGGTGTGATTTTAAAACTGGCCTCAGACACTTACTAGCTGTGTGACCCTGGGCAAGTTACCCCTTTGCCTCCCTCAGTTTCCTCAGCTGTGAAATGAAAATAATAATACCACCTACCTCACAGTGTTGTTTCAAGCATCTAATGAGACAGTACTTCTTAAGTGCTTAGCACAGCCTGGCACATACTAGACACTTCACAAATGCTTGTTCCCTTCCCTTCTTTTCCTCCCTATCTCTTTGTATATGCATAATATCCTAAAAAAAGGAAAGGAAAATTGACAACTTTATTGTTCTAATAAATATTTCAGGATTGGCTGAAGTACTAATAATATTTTTAAAGTCTTCACTGCATATTCCTTTTTCTAAAGACAGATTTAACATGTATTAAGCCTATTGTAAGAGTGAACCAGCATGAAAGTATGTGTTGAAGTAGATAACCAATTTTTCATAGGAACCTTGATATCATTTATTAGGCCTTTTCAACAAAACCAGCCAATGCTTTCTGATTCCCCTGTCTGGTTTTTTAAAAGTTAATAATTTTGCAAAGTTGTTAGTAGATTCAACATGATGAAAGTACATTTAATTTGAAGGTTTGCTATATGGAAAATTTGGTCTGACCCTTTTTGTTGTGAAAGTGAGGTAGGAGTTAGATATGAAGAAGAGAGAGAAACTTACAATGTACATACTTCTTTAAAATAACCTGAAGTTTATTGAATGATGCTAGTTTCTCTTAGGCATAGTGCATTGAGCTAGTTTTCGATTCCCCTAATTTAAAAGAAGCTAGTTAGACTTCAGTGAACATTTATTGAGGACTGTGTTTGGCACTGAGGGAAATAAAAAGTTTAGCTAAGATCCTGGAGCTTACATACAAACACATATAGGTATAATACACAATATTATAAAAGTGTATTAGAGAAATTTTTTTAAAAGAAAAATTTTTTATGAGAGAAAGATTGTTAACAACTGAGGATGTCAAGGAATTCATCATGAAGGATGTACAGTAAAGTTGGACTGCTAAGGAGTTGTATAAACTTTGAAATTATTGCATGAGTTTCACTCAAATTGCCTGATGATTGTGAGCTTAATATTACATTGGAAAGAACGTTTTCTTAAAGTCTCTCAGGCAATAACTTTATGTGTCAACTTCATCCTGAACCGTAATTTAGCATTAGCATTAGGGTCCTGAAGGAAAAGCCCTGATACACCATTTTAAGCTAAGTTTATATAATTGAAATGCTATTTAGGTTTTTGGTTTTGGTTGGTTGGTTGTTTGGGTTTTTTTTTTTTGGTTTTTGGTTTTTAAGTCAAGGACACAACTAGATTGTTATTTGCATGTTAAGTACATTCATTTAGTTTGGCATCAAGACTACCACTTAGAACCTATGTTGATCATCATTGTTTTAGGTACTACCTTTACTGGAAAGGGCTAAAAATATTGCTTCCAGAAAATGTGAAA